AAACCCTTAATATGTTTATGAAAAAGTTAAAAAATAATCCTTTGGCTAAATGATTTTAAAGTTCAAAACAACCTTTTTTCTGTAAACCTGGCATTAGTCCAAAAATGGTTCAATTATGTCCTGACATAGGGATAACGTCCTGGATATTCTCATGCAATCTGAAAGCTAAAGAGATTTACTCATATGCTTTTGAGGGCAGAATCTGGTCTAAAGACACATTTCGCTTCACAGTACTAATTCTAGAATAATAATAAATAATAATAATAAAAAAAGAGTAGGCACTGTTTTTGTTTTTTAAGGTATTTGCCACCATAATACCTGAGCACCTCTCATTAATTAATTAATTCATCCTCAAAAAAAACCCCTGTGAAGTTGAGAAGTATTAATGTACCCATGAGGACTACAGTCACAGAGATGTTGAGACTTGCACAGCATCACAGAGGGCATGTGATGCAGAGCCTGACTTGAACCAGATCTCCTGAGTGTCTTAACCATGAGACCCAGTCTTCTTTTCTTTTTAGTTTTTGGCCTGGGAGAGTTGGGGTAAGATTTGGAGGTTATATTCATCTTCTCTGTACTGGAAGAATACCATCTTGAAAGTAGCTAAGTTACCCGTGTTTCCATTGCAACATAAATAAAGAGGCCATAGAGAAAGTTTACACTGTGGGTGATTAAATACATATATTCTAGTATGAAATGAACAAACTTTACAGATAAATGGAAGTAATGAACTATACATGCATATTACAGAGACTGGGGAGCTTAGAAAAGTCATTAATAATCCACTCGCTCATATGTAATGAATAAACACCCTGAATTTTCTGCAGGATTATATGGATGAATATGAAGAGCACAGAGGGAAAGGAAGCTTTCCTGCTATGATCACTCCAGCTTATCAAAATGCCAAGAAAGCAAATGAACTGGCAAGTGACGTAAGTATAAAACATGAATAATCAATACAATACATAAACAATTAAAAGCAGCAGTTTGTTGAAGTAGTGCTTGGAAGCAGAATGCTAAAATTAAACTAGAAAAACAAACAATGACATTTCACTGCATTGCAGAGCACTAGAGGGCTTGGGGGATTGATGATGTCCGTTATCACCAATGCCAACTATGTATTTAGTAGTTATAGTTGTGAGATTTGCTACAGTAACTCCCATAGTGAGTAAATATAGCTTGAATGATCTGAACAGTTTCTAGTTTTTTGATTATGTTGTAGTATATCTTTAGTACAAAGCAATTGATACTGAGACAAGAGAACATAGTATCCCATTACTTGAACTAATGACTGGGAGAATATAAAGAAACTAAGACCTCCGATGCAGTATAGTTACAGCTGTGTCAGTCCCAGGATATTAGAGAGACAAGGTAGATGAGTTAATATCTTTTATTGGACCAACTTCTGCTGGTGAGAGAGACAAGCTTTCGAGCCACACAGAGTTCTTTCCTTTCCCACATCTGAAGAAGAGCTCTATGTGGCTCGAAAGTTGTCTCTCTCACCTACAGAAGTGGGTCCAATAAAAGATATTACCTTACCCACCTTGTCTTTCTAAGACCTCCTGTGACTGTGGCCTATTTCAATGACAAATCCAGTAATGACCGATTTAAGAATGAATATTTAACCTTCCCTGATTAAAGATGCCATTGTACCAGGTCTCCAACATGCTAAAAATCAAAATTATATTTCCTAATTGGCAATTGTTATGGGGGTTGGTTTTATGGTTTTCTTTTTGCTGTACGGGGGGGATGAACATATCGTAGTATAAGGCAATTAATTTTTTTTTAAAGTCTGAGAAACTGAACGCAGACTCCAAAATCAAATATGAATAATCATAACATTTCAGCACACTCTAAAATATCTTTTGTTTCATAACTTACGGGGTAGAATTTCAAAGTTAGGCATTTGCGATTGCATGAGGTGAGGAGCCTGTCTGTGTACATGTGAAAATTAATTGATTTGTGTGCAGAAGTTAGGCAAAACACAAATATAAACATCCAGACCCAGGGGTAGAATCCTGATCATATTTAAGTCAATGGTAGAACTCCGAATCCAAATTGGCACCTCCTTCACCTCCCTCCTTTTTAAAATAGGGGAGAAGGGGCAAGGGCACGGCAGGCTCAGGGGAGGGAGCCGGGGCAGGGCCAGTGAACACCCCCCAGCATATTGGAAAGTTGGTGCCTGTAGCTCCAGCGTTCATAGAATCATAGCATATCAGGGTTGGAAGGGTCCTCAGGAGGTCATCTAGTCCAACCCCCTGCTCAAAGCAGGACCAATCCCCAACTAAATCCCCAAATGGCCTCCTCAAGGATTGAACTCACAATCCAGGGTTTAACAGGCCAATGCTCAAGCCACTGAGCTATCCCTCCCTCATGAGTTGGTACCTCTACAAGGAGCCACATATTAACTACTGAAGAGCCACATTTGGCTCCGGAGCCACAGATTGGGCACTCCTGCTCTAGTGGATACTTAGTAACCATCTATAATTCTCTGACTGGCATCTTAACATTAGACTACTGAGAATTGAATTCTTTAATAGAATAGAGTACAAGCCTCAATCAGTTTCTAGCCAAGAATCTGCTAGTGATTATTAATATGAAGATGTCTGTTCAAGTAACTAAGAACCAGTGCTGTCCAACCAATGGGAAAACTTTTGAAGAAAAATACTAAATTGTGAAGTGGTTTCATATGAAACAGTCAGATTACATGACTGGTGATTTTCTATGGAGATGATTTTAAGAAGTAACAGCCTGCAATTAATTTACCTTTCCAACTTATTTACCCTTTTGTTCAAGCATATTAAAACTAATAGAAATTAAGGAAAAGTCTTACTCTGCCTCTTCCAGTGAATGGAAATGACAACGATGACAAAAATATCTTTGTTTGGATTATTTTTCCCTTTTTTAGATAAAATACAAAAAGGATCATTCAAAGATGAAAGGGGCAGCCCACTTCCATTCTCTTTCAGCCGAAGACAACTTAGTTCTTAAACAAGCCCAGAATGTCAACAAGCTTGTCAGTGAGGTAAGGAGTCAAATAGAATTATGGACTGATAGGAGAGCAGCCCATACTAGATACAGCTATATCTATTTATCTCTGGCAGGTAAATTCTGCTTTCTCAGGCTAGGAAGGTAAAAAATTGTTGTCCTTAATGACTAGCACACATGAAAACAATCAATGTGTAGTACAGTTATAAAATATGGCCATTCCTTAGGAGAAACATTCAGGGACAGATCCTCAGCTGATGAAAGTTGTAACAGCTTCATTGACTTCAGTAGAGCTTTGAGAAGTTACACAAGCTGAGGATCTTCTCCTCACCTTTCCGTGTTTTTTAAAATGAAAGCATCTCCAGATGAACTAAAATAGCTTTTCTGTTTCTTGAACGACACGTTTCACTGCATGTGTTTTTTCACGTAATTCCTTTCGGCAGGGGTGAAAGTAATATTCAACACTTATCGGTATGGGGGCCGGCCTCAGCCCATCCGTGCTGCCTGGCCCGTGCTGCCCAGGGCTCCAATGGCGATTTAAAAGGGTCCGGGGCTCTGGCCCTTTAAAATCACCGGCCGTGGGGCAGCTGCTCCTTTTGCCCCCCACTGTCAGTGGCCCGGGGTTGGGGGGGAGGAGGCAAAAGGGGCTACGACGCTAAAGTGCTGCCATGGCAGCGCTTTAAGCAGGGTCCTTTGCCATGGCAGTGTATGGGCCGATACTGGCGGCCCACTTTCACCCCTCACTTTCTCCAAGGTACATCTTTCCTTCCTCCTCCTCCTTTTTTTTTTTTTTAAGGAAAAGAAACCAGGAGTGTACATATTATAGACAGAGGAGATCAAGAGATGCAGAATTTTGTTTCAGATAAAGTTTTCCAAAATGTTGTCAATGTGATTTAGTGAATAGATTGTTGGACTGGTAGTCAGGAGACCTGAGTTCTGTTTCTAGCTCTGCCACTGACATGCTGTGTCACCTTGGGAATCTGATCACCTCAGTTCTCCCACCTGTAAAATGGGGGTAATGATACTTGCCTTCTATTGTAAAGTGCTTCGAGCTGTAAACATGAAAAGTGCTACATAAATGCTGAGTATTATTATTTTATTTTTCTGAATTTAAAATGTATATCTTTAGATGAGGCTTAAATACAAGTTCTACACTTAAGAACTTGCAAATTTTTGGGGAAAGATTTGCTTACCTATTTGAATATGAAATCCAAATCCAATATACAGCTGAGCTCTAATTCTGTACCCTGTTCTGCCTCCACATGTACATATGAAGTAATCAATGGGAAACTTGCATGTGAATTAAAGAGAAGAATTAGACCCGTAGTATCAGCACTGCATGTACTAATTAATACTTTCATACAAGGAATTTCAATTTGACTTATAAAGTGACATCACTGTTATAGAGAAAGAGACAGCAGCATATTTCTGATTCTGGCCAACCTCAGGAAGTCCTTTGCATGGCTCTTAGTGCTGTGTTTCTCATTTTCTGGGGTTCGAAACATAAGTAATTTAGGATAATTCAGAAGTGTATATTACGATGTTTTAAAGGGTTTTCTGCAGATAATTGGAAAAATTAACCTTTGAAAAATATATGCAAAATGGGCCAAAATCCAATTTCCATTATACCTGTGCGCCTCTATTAATGTATAGAGAACAGAATCCAGCATCCTGTAAAAGACTGTCGCTTACAAATAATGCAAAAAAGACATATCTGCTTGTAAGAGAATAGTGTACAGGAATTCTCAAACTATTCTGAGTTGTTAAGGCATGTCCACTATTATCCGATTAATGGATGCAGTGTGTCAGGAGTATTCTCCAATTACCCAGAACAATTCAGTGTCAGCTGAAGTGCTAGGACACAATCTCCCACATGCGGGTACTCTTGCGATATCCAGTGTAAGTCTTCTTAGAAGAAACTTTCCATATCTATTTTGTAGCAGTATAACTGAAATAATGTGTCCATCCTTTGGGGGTTCAACTACATAGTCTATTTGTCAGGAACATTAGCATGTATTAATTTGTTCATAGAATTGTGCTGTGATAGCTTTAGAGAAGAAGGATAACTTTTCCAAAATTGATACGTGATTCTGGATGCCTCTGATTTGGGGGCCCCACTTAAGAGGTCTTTAAGGGTATGTCTACACTGCAGCTGGGGGTGAGCCTCCCACCCTAGGTAGACGACTCACATTAGTGGAGCTCAAGCTAACATGGTAAAAATAGCAGTAGGAATGTTGCATCTTAGGCTCGATCTCCTCTACTCAAGCTTAGGTGGGTTTGAGAACCTGAGCCTCAACATCCACGCTGCTCGATGTTTGAGCATACGAGCTCGAGCTCTGCTAGTGTGAATCTATCTGCCTGAACTGGGAAACTCACTCCCAGATGCAATGTAGGCATACCCCAGGGGGCCTCATATGTAGATGCTGAGCAGTCAGCACTTTCTGAAAAACGTCTCATACTAGGGACCCAAAGCAGAGACATCTAAAATCACTATTTGCTTTTTGAAAACGTAGGCCCCAAAATCATCATCAAGGCCATAGGGCTCACTATTGGAAAGGGTAAAATCAGAAGTGTGGAACCTACATTTTACTGTATGCCATATAATAAAATCATTTTATGTTAACTTATCTGAATTTAAGGTATGACTTATGTACATAGATATTTTATGCAGTGAATTCAGATTTTGCTACATCTCACCCTTGTATTTTTTGGCTTCTAAGGTGAAGTACAAGAAGGATCTGGAAAAGAGTAAAGGCCACAGTATTAACTACTGTGAGACTCCCCAGTTCAAGAATGTGAGCAAGATCTCAAAATACACCAGTGATGTAAGTCCTCAGTATCTTGCATGCAGTGCAGTGGAAGTTTAACTTAGCAGCTGCTGGAATCACAGTTCATCTGTGTGTGTTCCATATAAGCCTTGAGTAAAAGCTGCATTGGGAGTTTGAATAGAACAGTCATTTTGTGTGTGTTTGTATAATGCTTAGCGTAACAGGGGCCTGGTCTGTGACAACAGCTCCTAGGCACTACAATAATACAAATAATAATAATTAATATAGGGAAAAGAGATTACTTACTACAATGCATTGCTAATCCAATCAAAAATGACTATTAACATTCTTTGTCACACTTTCATTTACTTCATCACTTATGTCCATGTGTTAATTGAAGTGAAATATATGCAAGATAATCTCAGGAGCCATTTTTTGAGATGTAAATTATTGACCAGAATATAATTAAATATCTGTAAAACTAATGTTTATTATTATTGGTGTAGCAATAACTCATTTTAAAAACATCTTTAACTAAAATACGTTAGTAAGATGATCTCCATCAGCACAAAGGTAGGGCAGAATGGGTGACTATCCTAAATGAGGACACAAAAGAGTATTCATGCAAGAAATTTTCAAATATCATGGGATTAATTCCTTTGTTATAAATAACTCTTTCTCAGTTTAATGATCCATTATTTCTGAGATAAATAATTTTCAGCAATGAAGTGAGAAGGCACCAAATTTGTGTGGCATGTACGTAATTTTGGGAATACAATTGACATCTGTTGAAATGAAGGTCTCTTGGGAGGTGTGTCAATAGTTTTTTTTCTTTTAAGGTGTCAAAATTGTTGTATAATCACGAGGAGTTTTCACACGATAGCAACACTAGTAGATCATTTGAACCGGCTATATTTTCCTATGCTCAGTACCTGTCTCTTTGCTGTAACAGATTGTGAAATGAAATACATTTTCTGAGACAATGTTTGTTTTTGTGTATAGCTTAAATACAGAGAAAAATACCAGAATCAAATGAAAGGTCATTATGAAGGCATTGGCATGGACAGGCGCACTCTGCATGCTATGAAGGTTGGCAGCTTGGCAAGCAATGTAAGTCATTTGCACTTATATTATAGTAGGTACTGCGGTAGTATTCAGTTATGTAGATGTATTCTCTTTTTTTTGTCTTTAATATTAGCAGCCTTCAATTGATGAGAAACCTTAGATCAAATTACGTTGGGAGGTGCTAAGGATGGATGTGCTGAGAAGACTGTAAATCTTGGAAACCCTTCTGCACTAGATTACACATATTTTATTATGCAGGAGAAGTTAAAATAATTCATTTAGGTATCCAATCCTGCAAAATACTGAGCTCCCTCAATTCCCTTGGACGTCAATGGGAGTTGAGGTTGGTCAACACAGTGTAGAGTCAGGTGAAAAAACAATCTTTAATGAAGGTTTCTGAACCCTGTAATTTACTGGATTAGTCACAATGCCATTTTGTTACATATCATTCCTTCAAGTACATTATTTACAAATCTGTAAGAAACTCAAGAACTAAGCTGAAAGATAAAAGAGATATGTCATAGGTGGAAGTTAAGTTAATGCTCCCACTGTTGGCATTGGATTAATTGTGTAGTTGAAAAAGAATCAATTAGTGGCTAAACTATGCAAATAATTTCATTTTCTTTGTCGTTGATGACATTGAACTTACTTTGTTTCTTGTGTTTAATATTAATATTATTGTTTCTCCTTTCCTCTTGACTGATAATTATTCAAACAAATGACAGCTTTAAAAAAAGACTGATTTTTTTTGTTCTCCCTGTGTTTCAGATAGCCTATAAATCTGATTACAAGCACGACAATGTTGACTACAATTACCCAGCTACACTCACTCCTTCATATCAAACAACAAGGAAGTTGGCTCCTTTGAAAGATGTAAATAATCGTATGGGTTTTCATGCTGTTTCTTGTATGGCTCATCTCCTGGAGGAGAAAATCTGACGCCTAGTGTGTGATTTTATCCTGGTGGCAGACAGCTGGTAACACAAGGCTCAGTGGGGTCAGGAAGGCTGGGAGGATTGGGAATGGGATACAGAGGCTGCCAGCCCAAGTCACTGGTTTCAGTTCAGACCAGATTGTTGGTAACCTAAAGGTGAATTGGTGTGGGGAAGTTTACACTACTATTGCCCATACTGTACCTGCTGCATGGATAAATTGAGGACTTCAGTCTACAGTTTGTCATTCTGGCACCTTTCCAAGCACTAAATTCCCCCCCTGAAAATATTAGCTGAATAGGTATAGCTGATCTCTTTTGTGGGTTCTTCAATACTTAATATTCTAACTGCTAATGGGTATTGTATTGCTTCTTCTCCAGCAATAGTTGCATTTTGTCTGTGGAAAGGGCTAGGGAGACAAGGAGGGGAGAAGGAGAATTTGAATTAACTATTCTCTTCCTCTTGCTATGTGGAAGACTTACATCCCCCCAAGAGGTGAAGCAAGAATGTCAAGGGCAGGGACTGTAGGCACCAACGTTTCCCTTATCCAAGAACAGACTGGGCTTGGAGCATTTTAGTCTAGTACATGTTTGCCGTGACTCCAGGCAGGACTTGTGCATGACTGGCATTGCGGCAAAGTGATTTATATGCTCCAAAGAAAGAACCTGCAAACAAATACAGCATTAGGCCAAACCTGTCCAGAGGGTAGAGCTCACTTGAGCAATTTGGATGTGGGTTATGTGTATTACCACACAGCCAACATTCCCAGTTCTCAGATCATCATCAGCAATAAGTACATGTGGTTAAGTTTAAAGAAAAAAAGGAGATTAAAAAGAAGAAAAGAAAGAAACTGTCTGCTGAAGAGAGCCTTAGATATCTACACAGAAAGAGTGAATATATTCTTTTAAGTACACTGATCGCTTTTGGCTTTGTGAGATAAGTCATGCAATTCTTCTAATATGAGTTAACATGGTGGGTAGCAGAAGTGTGTATATGTGCAGGTGTCTCAGATAAAGAGGATCCTATTAAAATGGATTCATAGCTTTAAATGCCTTTGAATTACACTCCACTTCATGGCAAAAAAAAGTTCTTAAAGAACTAGTTTTAAGCAACATACAATTTGCAATGTTTGGTGATTAACTACAATTTATATTAAGAGAATAATAATTGTGTCCTGCAACGTAACCCTGAGGCTTTTGTCAGGAATAGGTTTAAAAGAAAATTTCTTCACGACATTTTATCTTGCATAGTTTGGGGATTTAATATATTTATCTTTATAGATTATTATTGCTGCAACTATATTCATATACTAGGAATTTAGTGCACTCTAATGCACTCCTACTGATGGCTGACATTGAAATGCTTTTTTCCCTGCACCATATATATTTTCCCTTCCATATCAAACTCTTACCATACAAGAAACTTTTATTATCAGTTATTACATTTACTAGTTAAAGACAAGTAGTAATAGAGCCCATTGGAATACAATTTGTTCTGTGTAACTATATGGCAGGACAGACCACTACTGAAGTAAGTTCCTGATTACAAAGATAAAAGGGATTCTAAGGCTATGTTTATACTATGCGGGATCGACACTCTGGTGATCGATACATTGGGGGTCGATTAAGCGGGTCTAGTGAAGACCCGCTAAATTGACGGCAGAGCGTCTCCCGTTGACACAGCGCAGTTTAGACACTGCAGTAAATCGACCTAAGCTACGTCGACTCCAGTTACACTGTTCACGTAGCTGGAGTTGTGTAATTTAGGTCGATTTACTGTGGTAGTGTAGACATAGCCTCAGAGATGATGCAGGATATTAATTTGATAGGAATGCTTTATAGGAACCAATTGAAACTGTGTCTCATTAATAAAATCCACACACTGTGTTTGAGGGAAGTTTGTTTTCAAGTAATAATCTCAGCGCAGGGAATTTTCTGAGGATTAATTACCGGCTATGCTTAATCTCATCCACATCTCCTGGCTTTGGGAATTGTTCTACATGTCAGTTTTTATGACTTAAGTGGTGGGTTTACCCCTAAATTTCAGCTAAACGAAACTTCTCTACCATACCTTTCACATGCCAATCTGAGCATTTCCTTTTTTGTTTCTTATTTTAACTTAGGTAAACTATAGACAAAGCATAGACAAGCTGAAGTACAGCTCTGTTACCAGCACTCCACAAATCATTCAAGCCAAAATAAACTCACAACAGCTCAGTGATGTAAGTCCTGCTGCCATTGACCATCTCTATTTATTAGCGATAAGAAAATATTTTATTTCCTAATGTTCTCACTGCATATGTGTTTTCTTTCTTGTTGATAATAGTTGATAGGTAGGTTTACAACTAAAACCATAGAAAATGAATGAAATTGCTTTCAAGGCCAAGTGGCCACATCAGTAGATCAAGAAATATGAAATGCTTTCTTGAACTTTGAGACGTTATATAACTTCAGTTTCTGGCTATTTGATTTGTTAATACTTGTTTTTATTGGACTTGTCCTACAGGCCTATTTACATTTACTTGGAATTTTCTTTGAATAACTAGGGGAAAGTTATATTTGCCTTTTCTTCTTATTTCCAATTTTGTTTAGTTATTACAGACTTATATTATGGCCCTTAACACATTAAAACAAACAATAATCACTTAAAGTTAGATGGAATTACATTTGGTGTATTGAAGGTAATTTGTTTCATTGTCTGTGGCAGTTGACTTACCGAGCCCAGTATGAGAAAACCAAAATGAATTACACTCTACCACAGGACGTTCCTCAGTTAGTCAAGGCGAAAGCCAACGCTGAGCTATACAGTGAGGTAAGCAAAGTGACTTGCAAATGTAGATCTATGTATTGTCCTCAGATATGAGCAATAATGAACACACGGCTGCTGAGACTGTTCAGGAAGAACTAGGCATCTCTGTTCTGCCTTTATTCAACAATCTGAGACAAAGTTATCCAAATTAGTAGGGATAAAATGTGAAGCACAACCTTGGAATTTGTTCTGAGATCTCATGAAATGACTTGAATTTGACTAGCAGATTAAATGTCCACACCACAAAACTGACCACCCAAATTAGTGCTCATTGGATGTATTACTCTTCTGGCAGGGCTAGTGCGAAGACCAAGGATTTAGATCTTGATCCAAAGCCCACTGAAGTCAGGGGAAAGGCTTTCATTGATTGCATCGGGCTTTGGATCAAGTGCCACTGTTGCCAACTCTCATGATTTATCACAATATTTGGTGCTTTACTTAAACCCGCAACTCTTGGAATCAGACAGAAGACAATTACCCCCCACCCTTTACATTTATTATTTGCTACAAATCTCATTACTTTTAAGCCAATCTCGTGGCAATTCTGCAAGTCCTTAATGGGGATTTCGCACTCCATTGTGCTTCCTCCAATTCAAGGCGGAGGCGTATTGGTGGAACAATGTGGGAAGATGCAGAGTGCCCGTGATGTACAGTTATTATCTCTATTGTTGTGATGGTCATGCCCAGAGGCCCCAACCAGAATTAGCCCCATTGTGGTAGGCGGTGTACAAACACAGAGGTAAAGATGGCCTCTCTTCCAAAGAATTTTGGGTGGGATTTTCAAAAGCAGCTGAGTGAATTGGGCACCTGACTTCCATTGGCTCTCAATCGAAGTTGGGCCCCTGGCTCTTTTAGGCACTTCAAAAATCCCACCCTTACGATCTAAGAACTCCTGCCACCTGCTCTGTGCATAATTGGGGACCACAAGCTCCAGGAATGTTAAATCTGGCCTCTTCCAGAATAAATTATTTAACATAAAATAATAGTAAATAAATATATTATATTTAACTGAGTATATTATATTTTTGTTTAGTTCCTCACGATTTTCCATGGTTGCTTTAGCTGTTTAGGCAGGTATATTCATGTTAGTGACATGCTGTTGTATTTCCGTTCTCAGATTAAGTACAAAGAAGGTTGGGAGAAGACCAAGGGTCGGGGCTTTGAAATGAATCTGGATTCCATGTCTTTACTTGCTGCCAAAGCCTCAAGGGATCTTGCCAGTGATGTAGGTTGTATTTAATTAACTAGGAAGTCAGCAATAGCATAGGGAAATAAATATGTTGTTTCACCTGGGTTTTTAAGCCCTGAATTTTACCGTTGTGCATTCATCTTTCTCGACGGTTGATGAACTCTAGGAAAATTTGTTCAGAATAATTTCTATAGGCAACCAGCCCCACTCTCCGAAAAATTGCTTATTTTTTTTGTGTATATAAAGAAATAAAATTAGAAAAAGAGCAGTAGCTCCATGTCCATGTTGTAAAATTCAGCATTTTGAATTAATTAGACCAACACAAACCTCACCACCTCCAATGCAAGTACTACAAGGCGTGCTTCTTTGATTTGCCTTCTTTAACATAAACACATAGCAGCATGTATATTTAAAAAAAAATCCTAAAAACAAAACCCTACCAAAACAAACCGCTACACTGCATGCATCATTCTTTCCCCCGTGGAGAGGTTGAGGGAGAGAATAATCATGTATGAGAATGGTTAGTCAAGTTGCTTAATGAATTATTGGAAGGCACTCAGATATTACACTGCTGAGGGCAATATAACAACCTATAGAATAGAAGCTGTTTATGTTAAAATGAGTCAACCCCCGAAGACCTTGCTCAGTTTTTGTTTAGAACCCCATTACATATTTGGCTCAATAAGAACATCAGGATTCAATCCAACACATTTTTCTCAAAAACAAAAGAATGATTTAGCTGTTTCAAAGGTTTTATATCTAGAAAAATATTCATGCGAGGAAAGGCTTAGCCCTTCTAATAGGTTAAAGAAGACACAACTAAGGCCAACCTGATTGCCCTTCAGAATTCATAAGCATATTTGAGAGCTCTGAATTGGCTACCAGGCCCTGCACTCAAATGGCCCGTCCCTAAACATACTGCATATCTTTGTGGCAATTGGAAAATGGTCTGTTGTTTACAGTAAATTATTTTCCTCTTCAAAGATTAAATACAAAGAAGAATATGAAAAGACAAAAGGCAAAGCAATTGGAAACAAAGATTCAAGACTTCTGCACTCTTTGCAAGTGGCCAAGATGAGTAGTGAGGTAAATGATTGATTTCTCTTACTTAAAAGATGTTTTTCATCATTATACTATTTTGCTAGTTTAGGGTTGGAGCTCTTGAACACTGCATTGTTGGTATTGATCTTATTTTCAGAAGAGGAAAGCACATTGAACCCTGTCTTGAAAAAACAAACTAAACAAAAACAAAAAAAACAAAACCCATAGACTTTGCAAAGAGTTGCAAGATAAAAGAACAGAGTGAAGTGAGCTGGACCGTGTTATGGATCCACGAGAGGAATTGCCAGTGGAACCTGCAAATCGATGGTCCCATTTTGGGGCTACAATGTGGCCCCTTTTGAAACCTCAGTCCTACAAGTCTTTGCCTAATATGCGGCAGGGTGGGCAAGTTTATTTCACTCTATCGCAAATGATGATGGAGGCTAAGTATAGGTTTTGTGGATAAATAATGCCTGATTATACAGTGATATCAAATAAAGTACTTATAAGCCATTGCTTTCTTTCTTGTTCCTTTATATCCTAGATTGCTTATAAAAAAGGTTTTGAGGAGAGTAAGAGACATTTCCATTTGCCCATGGACATGGTAAACCTGAAGCATGCCAAGAAAGCCCAGGCTTTGGCTAGTGACCTTGAATATAGGAAGAAACTCCATGAGTACACAGTGGTTCCAGAAGACATGAAGACAAAGTGGGCCAAGAAGGCCTATGGACTTCAGAGTGAGGTAAGGTCAGACACCCCATTTTAAATGTTGCTGCAGGTTGAGGGTTGAAGAGTTATCAGGATATATTAGGTGATCAAAATGACTTAATATTCCTTAGCACTTATATATCTGTTTTCATCTTCAAAATGTCGCTTCACAAATGCAGAACTGGCAAGTATGCATACTTTAACTGTCAGACTTGTGTCTCAGTCTAAAACATTTGTTTCCCTCTGTAGCTGCAGTACAGGGCAGATCTGACATGGATGAAAGGAGTTGGATGGATGACAGAAGGGAGTGTTAATATAGAACAAGCCAAAAAAGCAGGAGATCTTGTTAGCGAGGTGAGCCGCACTTTCTGGCTGTTTTTCTGACTGGAAGGTTGAAGCTTGGTTGGCCAGGAGTATAGATGCTGTATGTGTAATGGATTGGGAGACTCAAGTATATTGGAAATTTGAGATATGTCTGAGCCGATGGGGATGGTGCTTGTGCGACAAGGCGGTTTGGGAGATTTTGGATTGTGGTTTGGGAAATATTTGCCCATCATGCAACTATACTCTTCTTCCCTGGAACTTAGTCTTCGCGTTACAGGGCTCTCAGACAGATCTCTGTGTCATCATAATTGTTCCCTCCTACCCTTCTCCATCTGCCTGCACCTTTAGCACTGGGAAACATTGGGATTTGCTGTTTTATTTTGTTTAGGCCGTTTTTCAAATCCTAGTAAAGCGAGGAGCTAAAACAGCACACAGACTTTTAAGTGACATAAATGAAAAATTAGATGTTTCACAACCTTGTTTGAAACTTCCTTGCTCTATGGCCAGTCAGGACTGAACTTGCTCTGAGTCCTTGCTGGCAGCACTAGCTTGCAGCGCTCTTCATTTCTTTTCTTTAGTTCATTCCTGGCCTACCATTGCCATTAACCTCATGGGAATACACTTTCTCAACCTTCTCGCTCCAGTCTAGTGGTAGCGTTGGTGACAGTAAAGCAGGAGGATAGAAAGAAGAAACAATTAGGAGAAGTTTGAAGTTTGAAGAGGAAAAGGAAGGAAAAGACACCTGTTAGAGTTACTGGAAATCACATAGTCTGATACCGTAGGCCTTTGACATCCAACCCTTTACTCCCAAAAATGAAAAATAAATATCAGAACCAAGGGAAGAAGCAACAGCTCAGATCCAATATCTTACTAGAGATGGACTGACATTTACTGCTGTGGCTTGCAATAGTAATGATCACTGCCACAAATATTTAATTTGTGGTGATCTGCCTGACACTAACCTCCTAAGATGAAAGCCCGTATATATTATTTTAAATATTTCTATTTCCAATGAGAAGCTGGCATGTTGTCATTTACTTGCAGAATGTCATTGTGACAAAACCACACTGTTCTTAATCTGCCTCCGTCCCCTCTAAATTCTAAATACAAAGCAAAATGAGCACCTCTTTGAAGGAGAGCATGCTTTTTTAACTTCTGTTTTGTGTGCCGCCGGGAAAGTCCCAGTGTGAACTGATCTGTTCACCTATCAGTTCAAACAGTGGCTTCCACTGCCGAAATGTGATGTAATAGAAACACTCACATATACCCCTGCAACATGGAATGGTTGGTTTGATTGCTGAATCGTTAGATTAATAAACAGTCAATAAAAGTACATAAGAAGAGTTTGCCTGGTCTCCCCATCATACGCTGTCTTGAAATAGTTATGATGTATTTTCTTATACTGTCTCAAAAGCAGACAGAAATTTGTTATTTGCTCTGAAAGGAACACTACACCAGACTCGATTGTTGAGATGAATTCAGAATAGACTTGATCCAAAGGCCATTAGAAAGACTCCTATTGACTTCAGTGGACCTTGGATCAGGCCATTAAGGAATATTATGGTGTATTAATCAGAAGGACAGTCTTAATCATGCAAGGTGAAACTTTGGTTCCTTGCACAAAACCTCTGCAAAAGGGCTCACTGTCGGATACTAATGCACAGGGCTGGGCAGAATGGAATGCTCCTTCTGACACCCAAACCTAGAACCTGTGTGTGGGGCACCTACAGCTGCCACTACAGACAAGCCTCCGTAGTTAGCATCCAGTTGATATTGGAGAAAAGTGCCAGGGTAATATCTTGAATTGTCACAAGGTTCAATATGATATATAGGGAAAAGTTTGTATCAAGAGGGCTAAAATATGTCCTCTGTGCTCCTTGTTAAATAGTACAGCAGCATTAAGCTCTTCCATAATCTAACAAACTACAAAAGGAACAACAGAAACTTGAGTTTGAAAAGGTTTATACCGTAAAATGTGGTGGTAACATGCACTGGGGGGCTCAGGCAATGGGTAATGGCATGCAGAGCCTTTAAACTTCTCTGTTACTGGTTCAAATCCAGGCCAGGAAGGTTGGTCATTGGTCAGTGTGAAACAAGAAAGAGATCTAGGTCATACAGTCAGCATATCTGGCATTAATTAGTATGCATGTTTTCAGTCTCAGCAGAGAGAACATTGATTGGGCATGCATATGGGATTGCTCTCAGCACTAGCAGTCACCTTGCCAGTTCAGGTTCAGAGAGGATAGACTGTGGACGCTTACAATGCTGATACCTGTGCTCTAAACAAAAGACGTCAGTTTCCAGAACTCTCAGTTTTCCCCTTTCGAAAAGCACTGAATTCATTTGGGAAAATAAATGTGATAATTTCTGAATGCTTTTTTTTTTTTTTTTTTTTTTAAATCAGAGAAAGTACAGACAGAAAGCCGATGCTCTAAAGTTCACCAGTGTGGCCGACAGTTCCCAGATCAAACACGCGAAGAAAAGCCAGGAACTGCAGAGTGATGTGAGTCCTCACTGATGCTTTATCATTAACTTGGTAATTCTTGGGGACAGATGGGAACCACTGAAAAAGAAACTGGCTTCAGTTCTGAATCTTGCCATGGCTTTAAATAACTTTGAGCTTTACTTCTTAAATCTTTTATTTTTTTTTTAAACTTTCCCCTGCTTCACAGCTAGAAACCTTTAAACCTGATAGGGAACAGATATATGCAAAGCCTCAGACTTCAGATACTATGGTGATAAGGGCCATATAGGCATCTGGATAGAGACTAAACCAGATCCTTTACAACTTCTGCATTTGGCATGGACCTCTGCTGTTTTTCTTTCCTCAGTGAGACTATTCTTCCTGTCTCACTCAGATCCTTAACTATACCTAGTGCACTTAAGACTGCATCTTTTTGAGCACAAATGCTTAAGCTATTTTTAGGGAAATAAAGGTTTTCTCAAGGGGACTATTTTATTTCCCCAATCCCCTTTCCTTCCTTAGATGTGAGAAATAGAGCAAGGACCCTGTCAGCTGGTATCTGTGAACTCCTGGCTGTGGTGAAGGCCCAGCTGGACCACAACCAGTTTTTAATTTTTCAAAACAAGGGACACCTGTTGTTAAATGTACTGATCACCTAATTTAGTGAGAGTGGTAACTGCTGATAGTGAGATATGTTACATGTTGTGACTTGAACTGAGGACACTGGCAGCTGTCCAGGTATTGCGTGAGCAACACTTAATCCTCAGTTGGTTGGTCTTTCCTAGACAGCTGCCTTCTTTCCTTTTTTGTTCATCTGTGTTTTAATATGTAACCCTTCTGCCAGTGGAGCCGGCAGCAACCAGGGCTGGGTTCAATATCTAGGGGTTCCTTCTCAACAATACAACACGGAACCGGCTCAAGCCCCCACCCAGTAACCTGGGAAAATTACACACCACCGCTGGGCGCCTCTGAGAAGCAATACTTCCCCACTCGCAAGCACAGAGTCTGAGTGTAGAAAAGAAACTTTTAATGAAAGATGGGATGTCTCTGGACATTAATTAGGGAAAATTGCTACAAGCAGGATTCATAAGCATAAAACTGTGAGCAGGACGCCCATCCCAGAGTGTGTGGGGCAGAGCCTTCTGCCTCATGTTCTTCAGTTTTACAACCAAAAGTTCCTTTTCTGTGCCCCTCTCTGCTCCCTCACCGTACCCCACTCACAGTGGTTGTCCTTGGTCAGTGAGGATCCAGGGTTGAGAGGTGCATCTGTGTGAGTTCACTTCCCACCCAGGGAAGAAGGCACCTGGCTTGCTCTGCCATCTAAGCACTTGCTTTAGCTGGCTGCCCCACCAGCCATGGTTCCTCTCTGCTGGCTACCCTGCTAGCTGCTCGTTCCACTCCCGCCGGCCGCTCCCACTGGCCGACTGTCAGTTACCTTCTGCTGGCACCTGCCTCTCTGCTATGACCACTGCAGGTCAGTCTCTTAGTGATTTTCAATATTTAGCAGGTGGGGCAGAAACGCTGTCCCACCACGAGTGATTTCAGCTCTCATTTAAGCACTTAAAATGCCAAAGGCTCCTAATGGAGCCTATTTAGCTCTATCTTTGAACAGTGAGGAGGAGCAGGTTAAACCAGACCAGGAGATCCTTAGGGAAGAGTCCACACCTACTGGCTGGGACACCAAACCTCCACCCCCCCCCACCTCTTACTTTTCATTCCCCCTGCTTTCAATACTAAAGTGATTTACAGAAGAACATAAGAATGGCCATACTGAGTCAGACCAAAGGTCCGTCTAGCCCAGTATCCTGTCTTCCGACAGTGGCCAGTGCCAGGTGCCCCAGGGGAAGGAACAGAACAGGTAATCATCAAGTGATCCATTCCCTGTCGCGCATTCTCAGCTTCTGGCAAACAGAAGTTAGGGACACCATCCCAATACCAGCCAAAGTTGATCACTTTGAGCAACACAGCTCTATCTGCTGGATATCTTGGCAGAGGTGGTGTGTTCATGTAAATACAGTTTGCTCCTGAAGCCTCTGCCCCTCCCAGCTAGCTGTCAGGGGAGAACTCATTCAGATCCTGCTGACAAATACTTGGCACTTGCATTTTTGCATCCATATAGCTCAAACTTCTTTAAAAAGTTGGTTTTAAAAGTGAATCAGAAAAGCACGTAGGTCTCCTGAGTCTCTTCTCTTTTGTCTTATCCACTAGATTACTCTGCCTCCCTATAGCTATAAAGAATATATCTTGAGGCAAGTTTGGTAGCCCTGGAGTTAGAGTTCTGTGCCACTTTGTGGGAGACACAACTTCCCCCACCCCTTTCAATCTCGATGAGATGCAGGATGTTGAGCCTTTAAGCAAAATGTAGCTCTGAATGCAGCAACCTTCTAGTCAATCCACGAGCAACTTCAATGGGTTCTGAAGTAGAGTGTCTCATCCTGGAATGTACGCGCCGTTAGAAATGCACTGAGATGTAAAATGGAGGTGGTTGCTGCTTCAGACCATTAAAGATCCTTGGCACTTTCATTTAAAGCAGGGGTGTTAGCCCTGGCCAAATTAGAATGTGGTTAATTATATCCAGCTCACATAAATACCCCCTGCAGATTTAGTTGCATTCTGTATTCTTTTTCATTTCCTGCCCATTGCTGTGTGCTATTAAACAACTTAACTCATTCCATGACAGAGGCAGCTACATTTCCATGATAGATGAAGTAATGTCTTGTGTAAACTTTGTACAGAACATTAGTTTGTATCAGCTTGTATGTCTATTGAAATAAAGTACTTTGGGATGAATAGCTCTGTATAAATATATCATTATCCCTCCCTCTTTGGCTAAGGAAGACCAATGAGGCACAGGAAATTGAGGAAAGGTAGTATAGATCAGGGTAAAATAGAGAATCCCAATAAAAGGGTGTTTATTATTTTATCAAGTGTGTGTGTTTTATATCGCATCACTGACAATTAATAATAAATGAATTGGCTAACCTGGAATTGATTTAGGCTTTATGGGAGAACATCTCAATTCAGGTTTTGGAAAAAGGATCCTGATTTTAAAGACTAAATCATCAAGTAAATTTCCCTTTAAATATTCTTGCCTGTTTCTTCCCATAGACTCAATTGTCATTTGAAATTGAACATAACCTGATGCTACTGACATTATTTGTTTTGTTTTCTATGGACAGGTTGCATACAAGTCGGGAAAAGAGCAGTTTCTTCATCATTACACCATCAGCAAAGACGAACCTCTCTTCATACAGGCCAGAGCAAATGCTGCAAATATTAGTGAGGTGCTGTATGGTTGGGGCTGGGCACCACCCCTTTAACTTATCAAATGGTATTTACTGCTGTTGAAATAATTGCTCTATAGTTAATAGAAGGACATTTCCCTTAAGCTGATCTGAATGTTTAAATTCAAAAACTTCAGAACCAAATTATTTGCTTTTGCTTGAATACCTGGCTGGTCCCAGTACTGCTCTGAAGGCTCCGATCCTTCACAGTCTTTAACACATTCTCAACTTACTCATGTGAGTAGTCTCACTAGTTTTAGTGGCACATGAATAGTTCCTTTCAAATCAATGGGGTGCGATTTGTGGAGGAAATATTACTCAGTGTGAGTAAAGGTATCCGAATCAGGCCCTTAAACTAAGTTGTTTGGGACAGGGGCCGTCTCTGACTACCATACTGGAGCTACAATCTTATATGGATCTCTGTGTGCTACTGTAATGCAAATTATATTTGTGTTATTGATAATAAAGTAGTGTTGTTACTGATATCTCTTTAGAAATTGTACAAGAGTAGCTGGGAGAAGCAGAAGGAAAAAGGATTTGAACTTCGTCTTGATGCACTGTCTTTCTTGACAGCTAAGGCAAAGAGGGATCTGGCAAGTGATGTGAGTATAGATTCTAATTAGATGGTATTCCATAATTAACCTGATGGTTTGTTGTAGAAAAATATAAACCTTCTCAACAAACCTGACCATGCAACCTCTTCCCCAGCCCCTTCTAGCCCTTAGGGTGAATGTTCAGAACCAGAAACTGACCAAAAATTTGCAAGTGGCACTGCAGAATAATGCATCTAAGTCACTGGTCTGGCCAATAAGCCAGAAAATTTCTGGGAGAGAGAGGCTGTTTTTCAAAGAAATAAAGATTATTTTGGCTGAATTTTTTATCTTTTTAGATTATGACATGTAATATTGAAAAACAGCTTCCTCTTTTAGGTAAGCCTAAAGCCACTCTGATTCCCTTTTGGAAACAGACATGTTGATTACTTGCATGGAAAGCTCACGAGCCTTAGAGACTAGATCTTGCTCCGTTTTCTTTCCTGTGCTACTGTGAAATCATAGGCATCTCAAAATATAATTGTCATTGGGAATCATCATTCATAGAAACATAGAATATCAGGGTTGGAAGGGACCTCAGGAGGTCATCTAGTCCAACCCCCTGCTCAAAGCAGGACCAATCCCCAACTAAATCATCCCAGCCAGGGTTTTGTCAAGCCTGATCTTAAAAAAAACTCTAAGGAAGGAGATTCCACCACCTCCCTAGGTAACCCATTCCAGTGCTTCACCACCCTCCTAGTGAAAAAGTTTTTCCTAATATCCAACCTAAACCTCCCCCACTGCAACTTGAGACCATTACTCCTTGTTCTGTCATCTGGTACCACTGAGAACAGTCTAGATCCATCCTCTTTGGAACCCCCTTTCAGATAGCTGAAAGCAGCTATCAAATCCTCCGTCATTCTTCTCTTCTACAGACTAAACAATCCGAGTTCCCTCAGCCTCTCCTCATAAGTCATATGCTCCAGCCCCCTAATCATTTTTGTTGCCCTCTTTCCAATTTTTCCACATCCTTCTTGTAGTATGAGGCCCAAAACTGGACACAGTACTCCAGATGAGGCCTCACCAATGTCGAATAGAGGGGAATGATCACGTCCCTTGATCTGCTGGCAGAGCCCCTACTTATACAGCCCAAAATGCCATTAGCCCTCTTGGCAACAAGGGCACACTGATTCGTATCCAGCTTCTCATCCACTGTAACCCCTAGGTCCTTTTCTTCAGAACTGCTGCCTAGCCATTCGGTCCCTAGTCCTCATTGATCTGTTGTGTTTCTAGTGGGATCCTGCAGGGATTGGTTCCTGGTCCTTTGCAATTTAATGTTTTTGTCAATGACCTGGAAGAAAATATACAATCATCACTGATAAAGTTAGTATATGAAACAAAAATTGGGGCAGTGGTAAATAATGAAGGGGACAGGTCACTGATACAGAGCGATCTAAATGGGTAAGTGAGACACTCCAACAATATGTGTTTTAATACCACTAAATGTAAATGTATACACATAGGAAGAAAGAATGTAGGCCATATTTACAGGATGAGTGACTCTATCCTGGGAAACTGTGATTCTGAAAAAGAGTTGGGGGTCATGGTGGATAATCAGCTGAACATCAGCTCCCAGTTCAACATTATGGCCGAAAGAGCTAACCCGATCCTTGGATGCATAAACAAGGGGATCTCAAGTAGGTGTGTAAGCGGGTGCAGACTCACCCCTGCGGCGCCTCCTGCTGGTTGTCCTCGGGAGTTAGCATCCAGCCTCTGGAGTGCCCTCTTCAGGCTGGTGTCTCGCTGCCACTACTGGCCCCCGTGTCCCTCTCAGGACCCTTTAACTGGGTGCTGCTCCCTGGCAGTACCCCCACAATTCTAGGTCTCCCCCTCCCAGGGGAACCCCCACCCACTATTCCCACTTCGCCTCAGTCTTTGCTACTGCCCAGTCTCCATCTCGCCCCCGTTCACTGGGGCAGACTGCAGTATAAGCCACTCATCACAGGCAAAGGGGTTCGGACCTGCTGCCTCTGCGTACCCATGGGCTGCCCCATTGCAACCCTGCACCTATTTGGCCTATAGTCAGACCTGCAGCCTGGGGCTTTCCAGGCTGGAGCTCCCAGCTCCCCTGGCCCTTCCCCAGCCCTGCTCCCAATCTAGGTGTCTTGCTTAGGTCCCTGCAGCCAGGCCCTTCTCCCTCTACATACAGAGGGAGACTGACTGGGCTCCTGGCACACTGCCTCTTATAGGGGCCAGCTGGGCCTGATTGGGGCATGGCCACAGCTGAACCTACTTTCCCCAATCAGCCCAGGCTTCTTGCCCCAGCCCCAGCCCTCTCCTGAGCTGTTTTAAACCCCTCAGGGCAGGAGCGGGTAACCACCCCGCTACAAGGCGTAGAGAGGTTATTTTTACCTCTATCTTTGGGACTGGTGCAATCGCTGCTGGAATACTGTGTCCAGTTCTGGTGTCCATAATTCAAGAAGGATGTTGACAAATTGGGGAGGGTTCAAAGAAGAGCCTCAAAAATGATTAAAGGATTAGAAATCGTGCCTTATAGTGATCGATTGTGCTCTTTCAGTCTATTTACCTTAACACAGGGAAGGTTAAGAGAGGACAAGTACACTCTGTAGGTATCTACATGGGGAACAAATATTTATAATGGGCTCTTCAGTCTAGCAGAGAAAGGTGTAACATGATCCAATGACTGGAAGTTGAAGCTAGACAAATTCAAACTGGAAACAAGGCATGAATTTTTAACAGCGAGAGTAGTTAACCATTGGAAAAACTTCCCAATTATCATGGTGGATTCTCCATCACTGGTAATTTTTAAGTCAAAACTGCATGCTTTTCTAAAAGATCTGCTGTAGGAATTATTTTGGGGAAATTCTATGGTCCTTTATGGCCTTGGAATCTATGAATCTTTGAGGAGAGTTCAGTTTCCAAATGTGGATCTCACTACTGTAGTGTTTCTACCAGAGACGGAAAGGCAAATGCATTTTGGGAGAACCTGAATAATGGCAAAAATGAAATGCCGTCTTTACTTTAAGTTACCATTTGATTGTTAATAAATGGCTACAGCCCAGCTGCATCTCTTTGTATCTATGATCCATTTTTTCTTCTTCACAGATAAAGTATAAGGAAAGTTATGAGAAGACCAAGGGTAAATTGATTGGAGTGAAAGACGTGAAAGCAGACTCACAGATAGCGCATTCTCTCCAAATGTCCAAGTTACAGAGTGATCTGGAGTATAAGAAGGCATCTGAGGACACAAAGTCTCAGTTTCATGTCTCCATGGATATGATAAACCTTGTCCATGCCAAAAAGGCTCAGAATTTGATCACAGATAGAGGATATAAGACAACCCTGCATTGTTATACTGCTCTGCCTACTGACATGAAAGTGGAATGGGCCAAGAAGGCCTATGGTTTGCAAAGTGATGTAAGTTCACAATCTCATACATTGCTTAACTGTTTTATTCCGCTCTTTCAGATGGTTAGGACTTAAATGAATTTCTATAGCTCATGAATTAAAATCTAGGTTTATACATTTAGGACCAGAAAAATATACCTTATACATTGACAAAATCCATTTAGAACATAAGAACATTTGAATAAATGAAACTTTTTGTCATGGACAAATGTTTTTTTGGATCTGAAAATGGAGTCCTTAGAATCAGCACATATTTGCCCGGTTCAGTATGTCAAGTCTTTGTGCTTGCATAGCATCTTGCAGACACTAAGTAATCCTCAGGACTCTCCCGTGAGGTTTATTATTCACCTTTTGCAAACAGGTAAACTGAGGTAGAAAGAGGCTAAATAATTTGCCCAAGATGATGACAGAATCAGTTACAGAACCCAAGAGTCCAGAGTCCGGTCTCTTGCTTTAACCACTAGAGACACTGCCTCCTTTATGTGAAAGTGATATGTGTTTGCTGTAAGACCGACTTGCCTCTTTAATGAGTGAGGCTGGGCTTTTTCAAAGGCACCTAAGGGAATTAGGTGCCCAAATCTCCTGGCAATTTGGTGATAATTGTGGGCCTAACTCCCTTAGGCTCATTTGAAAATTGCAGCTTTGATGACTGGCTATTTTGTTGCTTGGGGGCAGGATGGTGAGAAGCGGGGGCTTGGTCTCTCGTTGTAATTGCTGAATAGAAAAATTTCACCAGTGTTAGGGGAAAGTGTTCATTTAAACACCCTTCACCGTTCAAGGTCCTTGGACGATATCAGCTGAGACCATTTCCCCTCATTGTGACATTTTAAGTGTTACAAGAAATCCTCTGAAACAGATCTATACCCTCAGAATCCTCATTGTCTCTGCAGTGTCCTTTTAAACAAAGAATATCCAGGAAGATACTGCATACGATGAAACAAGCCTACTTTTTGTATTCAGAGTAAGAATTGAAGATGACAGTGAGGGAACAGGCCAACCTTTTTAAAAGATTGCCTTGCAAAGCATACAGCAGAACTGATAATAGATGGCTATACTGCCGTCTCTCTGTATTTTTTTTGTTTTACCTGCAATTGCGCAGCCGTGGATAAAACAAAAGCAGGCACTAATTTGACTCAGTTGGTGTTCCCAATATGTCTGAATCCTCTAATGGCACTTTAAATGTATGAGCACCAACAATGGGGCATTTTTTCCCTTTGTCAGAACCAATACAGAGCAGATTTGAACTGGATGAAAGGAGTTGGATGGATAGCTACTGGGTCATTAAATGTGGAGCAGGCTAAGAAGGCAGGAGAACTCATTAGCGAGGTGAGATTTCATGACAGCATGTAACAGAACTTGCTGCATAATGTGTGCAAAATGTCTGTATAAAATTAAAATAATTTCCACTCAAAGGGGAAAGAAAAAGGCATACCACATGAAAGCCCTCAAAACCAGGAATAGGACTGGTAATTAGAGGGAAACCAGATACCAAACACACACCAGTAGGAGTCCATCTAGCCTTTGCAAAAACAAAGCAGGTGACAAATGATATTATGAATAATAATGACAATCAAACAGTGCTCAATTGCTACCTACTAGCCTACCTTTTTAATGAAGCAAAACCAGGAGAGATGATGAAAAGATGCACTTATTGCACCCAGAGCCTCCTTTTGTACACGTTCTTTCTTTCTCTCTTTTTTGTATATATTCACATCGGACATGGACATCCATGTGGATCTCTCTCGATCCAGCTGTCTGTCTCTGTGGATTCTGATCCTTATTATCCCCGTGACTCCCACATTACCCACTCAAAAAGAATGCTCTTTAGATGAGCTCGAGAATCCTTTGTGCCTGTTTTTGCGGTCCTTCAAAGGAGCCACTGGCAGAATCAGTTCAATAGTTTGCAGATTTCTGAAGGAGGGCCTGTTGACCAAATCTTCATCAGTAGAAAACTGAAAGACTTACAACACGTTAGATAGCCAGTGGTAAAACCTAGAGGGGTCACCTGTCCACACATTGAGTATAAAGATGCACCAAATAATTTAGCTTTTCAGTTATCCTTTAGCATGTGGCTAAGTGCTGGCAGTATTGACATATTTCCATATAATCTTCAGCAGTAAGAGAAAACAGACTTTTAAAAGACAGTTGACCACATATTCGGCCAGATCCGCTAAAGCCAATGGAACTCTGCCTGTTTATACAAGCTGGGAATCTGGCCCACAAACTTTTAAATCATGCAGATGTCACAAAAATCTGCATTTCATTGTCACTAACTGGACACCACTGTCAGTAGAGAGGCCAGTGTTTCAGTAGGATATGAAGGCTGAACCCCTTGAAGTGGTCCCTGTAGGTGAGGTTTGGCCCACATTGGCAGGATAGTATAGCAAAGTTGCATTGCTACTGCCTATGTTGTGTCTATTCAGTCTTCGAATACAGAACTTCAGACTCCAAGACTGTTAATCTGGCCTTTTTTATGAACACTAAATAATATTGTTTGTTTATTTAAAAGTCTGACTGCGGCTGGCAAGATGGGATTAAAAAGCATCTCCAAGAGCAGTATCTCTCAGCACTTAATTAAATGAATTTCTAGTCAATTACTCTACAGATCTGTTTTCAGTTTAGGACAAATTCTGAACCACCTTCATCTCTATAAAGTCTGTAGGTCTTACAGGTTGTTCATCACTTAAGGATTTGGCCCTGTAGCTTAAAAATTGTGTTAAGGGATGTAACAGGGATAGGGATTTAGACTTGGGCATTGAAATCTGAGCAGTTTCTAAAAGAGCCACAAACGCCCCGCTCAGGCAGCAGGACTCTGTGTGGAGTGGAGATAAGACTGAAGATGGAAGTAGTACAGCCTAATGCAGGAAGAGTGGGTGCTGATTTGACTGCTACACGTGTACGGCCTTCAAGGATTGGGCCATATGGACAAAGTGTAAGCTTGACAATATGCAGCCTTCATTTTTATTATTTATATTTCAAGACCTCTCAGAAGATCCTATGGGCCCTTTCAAATAAGCGGAATTAATCTCAGCACCTATAAAATATGCAGCAATAATTAAACACAGTATTAGTGATCTCAGTGCAGTTTGCCATGCTCAGGTGTTAGCAGGAAATATAAAACTCCCATCAAGAAGTGTAATCACGGCCTTTTTTAGCGCAGTTCGAGTGGGTACCATTTCTTGCTTAAAGGAACTATAAATAAAAAATGTAATCAATTGTACTGTGTTTGAAGCCACTTAAAAAATGCTTTCTTACCATGGGTCCCAGAGTATTCTAGTAGGCATAATCTGATTTTGAAATGTTTCCTTTATATTTAGGTAGAAATGCTTTAATATTAATCGGTAAATGGCTATTGTTAAATTGAAACAAATATTAATCTGAAAGTACCTAGGACATAAAGATGAGGAAAGAGGAATTATAATTATGTTCACAAATTCACTCTAATCTCGAGCAACCTATGATTTTTCCCTTTCAAATAGCATGAAAGAGCAGCACAAAATTCACAGCTTTGATCTTTTTTCTGCTCAACAGAAGAAGTACCGTCAGCATCCATGTGCTTTGAAGTTTACCAGTATTAAAGACACTCCTGAGATGATCCAGGCTAGAATTAGTTATAACCAGGCTGTGGATGTAAGTTATAATGTATATGCATTATGATTATAAGAGTGGTATCCTCTTTGAACGACCTGACTGAAGAACTGGTTTTCTCTTTCTCTCTCTAAGATTATTCTTGGGAACCATGAAGCTTCTATGTTCTAGTGAGGTGCACCTTACAAAGGGCATGATTTTTACTTAGTATGGAAGTCTTCTACCCACAGAGCTCCCATTGAAGTCAATGGGGCTTCCACACACAGAAGGCTTTCTATACAAAAATATTTTGCAGGAATATGATTTGGGAGTGGGACTGACCTGCCTTCCATATTTAGAAATTTTTGACCTTTTGAGGTCTAGCACAGAAAAAAAAACATTTGCGTGGTTACTATTTTCAAACCCAGATGTTTTAAATTTTAGATTCTGTTGAGACTTTAGAAACAGAATGTAAAGTGACGTGACAAGACAGAAAAAATAAATTAATAATTTTAGGCTGTCATCCTGCTGAGAGAGAAATCCAGGAGGAGGAACCTAAAAGGTTTTTGGTCTTTATTTTTAATAGAATGACTATTTGAAATTGTTGTAGGCTTAACTGAGATAATGTGGAAGTGAATAGTAAAGTCAGCCAACAAAGACAAGTTTCAGCCAAGAGAGAATGTTTTATTGAGGAGAAAAAACACTTGTGAAAATAGGTATTTTTAAAATCAAGAAAAAGATGACAGACCTTTGTGTAATGCAAATGCTAATGTGATATTCTAGTACCTTTGCCTTTGGTAGACTTAATAAGAATCAAAGTCCTTAATACTAAAGCAGGGTAAATATGAGTTAGCACTCAGTGTCTGCACAATGTTACAGTTACTCCATGTTTGGAGCTGTCAGTGGCTTTCCACTCTGGAGCATCTGCAGAATTGGGCCCCTCTATATCAGTGAACAGCGGGCAGAGTAGAGTATTTGAGGAGCATAGGGGTGCAGTCTAATGGGTCTCAAGCTGTGGACTCCCTAAACACTAGAACAGACAGAAAATTCTATAGGGAAGGCAAGTAGATTGAAAGAGAAGATGGTCCATGAGAGGATCTCACATTTATGAAATGGTCAAAAGCAGTCAAAATGTTGGACAATTGTACTAGTCCTCCCAGCAGGTACATTGTAAAGCTAAATGCAAGGGGAAACTGAGAGGTAAAGTGGAAAAATCTTTCAGAAGGTGTATCTGCACACAAAAGGTTTAGATATATTAAAACATTTATTGTATGCCAAGTATCAGTTCGTTATTTAGAATATGTGTATTGGTAGCACGTGTAGTAACAACTGCAGTGTTATCCTACGGAGTTGACTACCCAAACTTTCAATAGTCCATAATTGTCCCATTTTGTTCTATAAAACAGGAGATGGTAAGATGACTGTCTCCATGTGTATTTACTCAGGGTTGACAGTCATTTTAAAGAGGTGTGCCAATGGATCCACAACTCCCAGTGATTTCAATGGGAATTGTAGGTGTCTCAGCCACTCTCAGAATCAGGCCCCTCATAGTTGCAAGTCCTTAATGAATAGCCTGTTAATAATTAGCTCTCTCTTTAGTCACATATTAAATTGATAACAGTTTTTTAATATTCAGAAATCTAGGGTCTTACATTGATTTTATACCCACGTGACTTCAGTTTACCCTCCCAGTTTACCCTGCTTGAGAGAAGTATCAGGCCCCAGCTCTTTTCAAGACCTCTCGATGAATACAGTTGCCTGCATTTATTAGTACTGCTGTTGCTTTTCTGTATTCTTTGCTTTTAATAAACTCAGACCTTATTGTTTTTATCTCAACCTGTGATCGGATGTGTAGTGAGTGTTCTATTTGAAATTCTTCTGCATTTCAGAGGCTGTACAAGGAGCACGGAGAGAACATAAAGCATCATTATACACAAACAGCAGATCTTCCTGAAATCCTTCAGGCTAAATTAAATGCTTTGAATATCAGTGAGGTGAGGATATCAGAATCTGGCCTTTAATGTTTCAGAGGAAGAGTGAAAAACATCCCTAGAGTATCTTGCCAATTTTACAGTACTCTATGTACTTACTGTCCATCATATATGATCATTCTATGGCCCGATTATCCTCTTGGTAAAATAAGAAATCAAATGTGATTGGATATTTTTATAAAATACATGCTGTAGGAATTACTTTGGGGAAATTCTCTGGCCTGTGTTATACATGAGAATCAGACTAAATGATCACAATAGTCCTTTCTGGCCTTGGAATTTACAAATCTAGAAGTCAGACCACTAGACAAATTAGAAATGAACAACGGAGAAAGTGAGTTACAGCCCCATTACTGAGACTTGTGTTCTGTTGTACATCTGTCTTGTATTGATAGCTTTATTTATACCAGCCCCATCTGTTTGAATAAAATGAAGCAAACACAATGATGCTTCTATTATAACAACAAAGGTGCAATGTCAACCTGCTGTGTAGTAAATGAATTTAAATGCTGTTCAATATTTCCAAACAGACTCACTACAAAGAATCCTGGAGTAAGATAAGAGATGGTGGATATAAACTGAAATTGGATGCCATTCCCTTCCAGGCAGCAAAGGCTTCAAGTGAAATCATAAGTGATGTAAGTGAAATTACTGCTAATTTTGTCCAATATAAAATACCAGCTACTCCAGACTGTTTCTGGTATGGTTTGTCAGTGTTCATGGAAACAGTATTTCCAGCCTACATGCTGAGAGGGATCTACCCCATGCTCCATTCAACTCTTGGCCTCCCTTCTGAGACTAAAGACCCAATGAGGTGTCATTGGTGACTGAGGGCTTTTAAATATGGAGTTGTACTGAGATGACCAACTCATTTCAGATACAGACTGAACAGCCATAAGGGTTGTTGACAGCTTTCAGTCAATATCAACCTGGACTACATTTGAAGCAGAAATCTATAGGTAAGAGAGAGATTTCAGAATCAAACTTTAATTTCTTAAAACACATAGTCCTCTGAAACTGAATTTTTACTGAAAAAATAGGTATAGCAGGCTTTATGTATATAAAAGACTATGCCAATATAGTCATATACAGAGAAATGCATTAAGAAAGAATGTCATATCCATTATATGATAGCATGTGGTGGGACCCATGTTGCTTTCTAAATATCTGCATTTGTACATTCTTCTAAATAAGTCAAGATACTGAAAGATGCGTACTGACGAGGCTCTCTCAACATTCACTTAAGATTTATTCAGTGTTCATCTCTTAAGACTTGGCAAAACATAATACGTCTTAGCAGCTGTAACTAAAATTTATAGTCCAAAGATTTACAACTGCTTCGTCAGAGAATTCTTCACACCATCTATGACTTGTGTCGAAAAGAGGAATAGACTTCTTGACTGCTTCAACAGTTCTTGTTCATTCAGTTCATTTGCTCAATTACCGTTAAAAAAAAGCAAGACTCAATTTTGGTCAAAAACTCACCTCTCTTGTTACTTGGCCCTTATCAAACTTCTGTTATTTTTTCCACTTCAGTACAAATACAAGGAGGCATTTGAGAAAATGAAAGGACAGATGGTTGGCTCACAGGGCTTGGAAGATGATCTTAACGTTGCTCACTCAGTGCATGCAGCTTTGCTACAAAGTGATGTAAGTACAAGGACCTGGGAAGGAACACGTAGAAACAATTTTCTAATGACCATGGAAAACAGACTTTGCTATGGATAGGTTCTCTGGCATATTACATAAGACTCAAGTCTTCCTTTACACTGGCTAAATACTTTACATTAATTGCATTATTATTCTTTTACATTAAATACATTATTATTAATCTGAGTGTAAAATAGCTCTACACTGTATTCTCTCTACAGGCCTCTTACTCCATGCAACTGTTTCCAGATATACTGTATGTTATTCTGTGTATATATATCACCAAGGGACAATTATAAATGATTAAGAAGAATTACCAGTTTTCATGTAAGGATTTAAACTATATAATTTGGAGATCTAACTTTTACATTGAGTATTTTCTACTTACTGTACTCTATAGAGCCAATATGTTGAATGCACATATGGAATTTCAGGTTGCTTCTTTTGTCATACATTCAGTATATTGTCCTGGTCTTGAAAGGTGCTGAGCACCACAACTTTCATTGACTTCTTATGGGAATTGTGGCTACCCAGTGCCACTCAGGATCAGACCCTATGACCCTGATCCAGCAAAGCACTTACTCACTTGTATGAGTTTAAGACATGAGTAGTCTTATTGAAATCAATAGGGCTGGTCACATGCTTAAAAGTTTTATTCATGAGGGGCACTCAATGCAGCCAGCACTCATTGAAGTAGATAGGAAGGTTTCCATGAACTTCAACAACTGTTGGATTGGGTTTGTACTGGAATGCTTTGTTGTATCAAGGTGAGAACATCATATTTTTTGTTGTAAACCCAACAATGGTTATTAGTTCTAGTGATCTGAAAACCTAAAAAAAAGGTCAGTTTGGAGCAGATTTTAATAAAATAATAAAGTACCATCTGCACCACCCATCAAGTTTATTACATCATTTTGATTAGCACCAAAAACTCTGAATGTTTATCTGAACCTCCTGAGTCAGTATAAGTCATCTGGAAATTTCATGAGAATAAGATTTCTCTGAATTTTTCTAGTATTTCATCTTTTTCTGGCCAGAACTAAGTAGTGCAAAGACTCCTGTGAAAATAATTTTAAACATTTATAAAAAGTTTCCCAAGTATGTTAGAACTTTAAAATTATTTTGCGTGAAGGTCTGGGCTAATTCTGGTTTTCTCTAAAAAGGTTCAGATATTGCTCTATAGGTTTATTATCATGAAATATCTTTAAGAGTTTGTTAGTGCTTTGTAAAAATATAATTAGTTTTTAAGAATCAACTGTGAGATTTGCAATTTTACCAATAACTTATTTCTTTAGCTTTAATTATATTCAGCCTTAAAAGGACTCTAAATATTGATAACATTGCAGTTATTTTAAAATAATGTCGATGACTACTCTTTTTTGGCCAAAAATTGACTGCCATATAATCTAATTTAATGTATACTTAAATTGAGTTGGGGAATTTATTAAAATAAGAGATTTGTATAGGAAATTGGAGGAATGTGGAGACTATCCCTTTAATCAGAGCTTGAATTTTAAGCCATACCTCAGTCTATAAAGTGATCCATTAATTTTTTTAACAGGTAAAATACAAAAAAGGTTTTGAGCATATGAAGACCCAGTTCCATCTGCCACTGGATATGGTAAACTTAGTGCATGCCCGGCAAGCCCAGTCATTGGTCAGCGATCAGGAATACAGAAAACTACTTCACCAGTACACCTCTGTGACGGATGATGTGAGATTGCAGTGTGCTAAGAAAGCTTATAAACTCCAGAGTGAGGTAAATGAAAGTCATCCCAGTGCCATTATCCTATTGGGTCTGACACATGATAGTTATATTCCAGACCATTACATCCACAGATATATGTATCGGAGCAGCAATTGTGGAGTAAACAGGGACTGTTCTCCCTTGATTACATTGATGAATGAGACGTGTATCTGTTTGGTACTTGAGTAGTAAAGAGTTACAATAGAAGGAATTTTGCAATGAGTGAGATGGCCTTCTAAAGGCCCTGTTGATTGTGCAAACTGTTTGCCCTGTGGCCTTTGACCTGCTATGAATCTGAATGTAATTGGTGCATATATCTAGAAGAAGGCTGCATACAATTTTTAAAAATCTGATTCATAAGAGACCTCTAAACTGTAGCCTAAGACTAAATCTACATGATCAGTGGAGTTCTAATAAGGACGAATTTGGCCCACTATGTAATCTTGAACTACACAATTCTTTACAAATCCAGGGCCTACACCACCACAGGCAGTGTTGTGCCTTAGAAACAGGGCCGTCTCTAACTTTTCTGCCGCCCCAGGCAAAAAAGAAGAGCGTCGCGCAGCCGAACCCCCCCCAGCGCCCCCCCAATCCCCCCCCCCCCCCCGAGCGCCGTGCCCGCCAGCCCCCGTTCCCCCCCAAGCGCCACGCCGCAGAAACAAAAAAAACCCCTCCAGCGCTGCCCCGACGAACCAATAAAGAAAGAAAGAAAGAAAGAAAAACCCGAGCGCCGCCCCACCCCAAGGTGCCGCCCCAAGCACGTGCTTGGTCGGCTGGTGCCTGGAGCCGGCCCTGCTTAGAAAGACGCCTCTGTATGCCCCATCGATCAGTTTTACACCTTTATGATAATTTGAGCTGTCTTGTTATAGCCTAGGCTTCTCACTCAGATATGCTGTAAAATGTAAGATTGTGTCTACCTGGGTGCTGAGGGGGCATCTTAAATACAAACTTGTAATTACTTTTCTTTGGTTTCCCTTAGCATTTGTACAGGTCTGACATGAACTTTATGAAAGGAGTTGGCTGTATTACTCCAGGGGCCCTAGAGATTGAAGGAAAGAAGAAAGCTTCTGAACTCATCAGCGAGGTAACAAAAGAGGGGTTTGATTTCTCCACTACAAACAAGAATTCGCCAGATGTGTGTCTGTTAAACTGGGTTGGCAAAGTGACTCATTGGATTAATGGTAGACTCCCTCCCCCTTTATTTGATCACGCCATTAATGTTCTCATTTCACATGGGTGTACCTGATGGAGTTCGAGGTTTTGCAGACCTCGTTAACTATTTCCACAATCTTTTCCTCCTGTGTTCTGAACGCATGTGGTTGGTATTTTTAAGATACATTATTTGATATAAAAAAGTGTATTTCCAGCTAAGAGGAAACCTGTGCCCTCTATTACACATAGTAACATTCCCCAACAGCTAGGCTGGCACATTGGAGTGACCTGAACATTGAATTGTTCCCTGCCCCCACTCTGCTCCTTTTTTCACAGTTTCTCTGTGTTTTGCATTCTGTCTACTCAGAATTCTGTTTTCCACCCTATTTTCCAATTTGATTTTTCCTTCTCCGCTCTCTCCCTGCTGTTCACCTTGCTAGTTTCTCCAAAGCAAAAGATGAATCCAGTGACCATGTTCAAATAGGTTTGGAACTAGGCAAAATGAGTTTGAACATCTCTAGCCCTACTCTGATGAACAGATCAGGTGCTTTGATCCTTGTGATGAGCTCTGGTTTTTGTTCATAATTCTCACTTACCTCCTCAAAGTAAGTGGAACCTCAACTTTTCCAAGGGCTTGAAAGTGGAAAGTTCAACTGCAGCAACTAGGGATTGAGCCTTTGACAAGGAAACTCTGATTTCAATAGTCAGGACCAGTGACATGAAGAGGTAAAATAATAAAATTTCTACATCAAGTTTGGCAGCACACTGATTTAAACCCTACAATATTCCCTATCTGTTCTTCATTGTCACTAATGAGACATGAATGCACCAGATTAATGGGAGCAATTGATAAACGGGCCTAATGGTTAATAGATGAACATTCTTTACAAAGCACCATTTTAAGCACAAGAAGTAAAACCAAAGCACTAGTATTAGGGAGACAGGTCCCTTATCTGACAAGACAATTTAGTGCTTCTGTTCATTTTTCTTTGTGTGTGTGAACTCAGAGTAAATATCGTCAGCAGCCACATTCCTTCAAGTACACTTCGGTGACAGACTCTCCTGGCCTCCTTCATGCAAAATTCAGCAACATGATTGCTAATGAGGTAGGCTCTAGTAACGTGGATCAGAAAATGTGCTTTTTAAAATGCAATGAGCTGGGGAAGGAGGAGTGGGAGGGAGAGAACCTCATTCTGAGAAACATAATACATCAAAAGGAAAGAAGGCATCATTGATTTGTGCTTTGGCACAGTTAGATCATATTTTATTATTTCCGGACAAACATTTAGTATCATTTTGTCAATCAGATCTCTCCTTTAAAACTTCATAGATAGCCTCCATTTGAGATGAAGTCCTGTAATCAGGTTTTTCTACTTGAAAGCAAACAAAATGCAAAGAAGGTAGATTCTAGTACATTTTTGAGGAGGTTCATTTGCATAGTACTGAATAAGCAACATTAGAGCCCACCTAATGCTATCTGAGAACAAGAACCTCTTTCTCATTTTTGCAAAATTCACTGTGACCTGTCAAACATGCCAATTTCAGGAAAAATCCAACCACCCCAAAGTTCACCCCTCATTGAGACCCTCTTACCTAATATCTGCTCCTGGTATTTCTGATAGAACTAACAGTTCTGAAATATTTTCCTCGATATTTGGAACAATCCCTCTCCTCAAAAAAAAAAAAAAAAACCCAACCCAAACCTTTTTCTAAAACAACAAAAACCCCCAACAAACCTATATAGGTGCAGTAAGATTTGGTATATTTCTTTTGTACTTTTTGTTCTAGCAAAATATTTAAGGCTGTGCACTGTTATGTTATTTAAACATTCTAGAAAATGAGTGGCAATTATATTCTCGAATCTCTTTCCTAGCGCCTGTATAAAGCAGCTGGAGAAGACATTCTGCATCACTGCACACTAACCCTAGGTCTGCCTGAGTTTTCACGGGCAAGAATAAATGCAGCTAATCTCAGTGATGTAAGTGTTTGTTTTTTTCCTTACGCATATTTGGATTTACCTTGAGGAACATTTCTGTACTGGCAGGGGTTTAGGACTAGATGACCTATTGGATCTGTTCCATTTCTGTTTTCTCTGATTTGAATGCATGTACACCTGTGGCCATTAGCACGTATACATATGTGAGTAAAATAAATCTACATAAAGAATAAGCTACACGTGTTTGTTTGAGATAATAAGATCTTCTATAGATAATAAAAAATCCTTTGGTAGTAAGAAATTGACTCACTAACTGTACAACAAATGTAAGAGGGTTTCTTTGTTCGTTCTTTCATGCACTTAAAAATGAAACAGAGAAATCTACATGTGCCTTTCCCACTTTAGGCAAAGTACAGAGAGTCTTGGCATAATCTGTGTGCTCAAGGCTACAAGCTGACAATGGAAGCGATCCCTTTCCAGACTGCCAAGGCCTCCAGAGAAATTGCCAGTGATGTGAGTTGAATGATTCAACCTTCCATCTTGCCTAATTTCTGTTAACTTCATGTAAAACAATGTCTGAGGCAGATTTTACTGAATTAAAGCAACCCTATAACCATGTGAGACAGACTATATTACTTATGAATGAGATTCTTTCTGTGATTTTTTTTTAAGAGAGTCACAGCTAATCAGAAACCAAACCCAGTCAAAGATCTGGGAAACATCCAGTGATTTTAAGTATGGTGCAAGGTAGGGAAATTCTTCCCCTCTCTAATCTATCTAGATCTTCAGCCCCAAACTTTCAGCGTATCCACTAATTATGGGTGTCTGCCTGTTTTTGGACACCCACCTTGGGCCTGATTTTCAGAAGTGCAGAGCACTTACAAATCATACTGAAGTCACAAGAAACTGTGAGTTCAGATCCTCCAGAAATCAGGTCATAGGCATCTCAAGTTGGGCACTGAAAATTAGTGGACTCATGCAAATGTATATCTCAATAACTTCCCAGGCAAGGAATACATATGTCCCTTCTCTTTAGAATTTTCTCTGGTTTGGATTATCATTTTCAGAACACATTAGGACATGGTGCTATTTTATCTGTAGGTAGTTTTAAGTCCTTTCCTTTCCCACGAGGGATTTCGTAAACAAATTATAAGAGTCACCTATAATTAAAATGAAATAAAAATATTTGATTTTGCATAGCATTGAGCTGCATATTTTGTTATGTCCAGGGGAATAAAATCTGAATGCTTTAAACGTATATACATTTCACGAAGTAGCTATACTTAGCAATTATATAGTGCTTGTGGCTGCAGCCTCAGATCTGCAATTCCGTAATAAATTACGTCCACTTACAGCAGGTCTGAATTTGCCCCTTCATCTTCAAAGCACTTGATAAACATTAGCTACTGTAATTTAATCCCCTCAATTCCCCTGCATGGTAGATAAGTATTATTATTCCATTTAGATTACATTATAACCTCTTTAGGTCAGGCCTGGACCTTCTCTTTAAAGTTCTGTGCACACTGTTTATGCTATATAAGTAATAACAACAACAATAATCCTTGCCATTTCACAGAGAGGATAAATGCACAGTCACAGAGGGAATCATAGTCAGAGCTACAATGAGAATTTACTTGTTCCTGGTGCTTATTCCTATGCTTAGACCTGTACCCTACGCTTCTCTCTCAAATCAGTTTATGGTCCAGGAACAGTTGGTCCCAAAAAACTGGAGACAGTGTGCACAATGTTTCTCTTTTGGATCGATTTTGCATTCTCTTTTGGCCTCTTACAATTGGTCTCTAAAAAGGGAATTTCACGGGAGTTAAAATAATAATGCACAATCTGAAGTTAAGCATGCTTGTTAAGCACCTTATCCTTTTATTTTCAGTGTCAATACAAGCACAACTTTGTGATGGAAAGAGGAAAGCACATCGGTGCCAGAAGCATTGTGGATGACACCAGGTTGCTACACTGCTTCCATGCTGGGAAGTTGCAAAGCGAACAGGAGTATAAGAAAGGGTCCCAGGAGATCTGGTCTCAGTACCATCTGCCCATGGACATGGTGAATCTAGTCCATGCTAGGAAGGCCCAGGCCTTAGTGAGCGAGCAAGATTATAGGAAAAGATTCCATGTGTATACAGCACTACCTGAAGACTTGAAGATGCAGTGGGCAAAGAGAGCCCACATGCTACAGAGTGAGGTAAAGACAGAACCCTCTTGTTAATTGCAAACAGGTTTAGAAACAGCAAAACTTACCAGTGACACAAACCACAAGTTGATGCCAGACACTGAAAATGTGCCTGCAAACTCCTGCATGTGCATCTACAAAATGTTTGATCACATGCACAACTAGATCCACGTCTTCTCCAGGCACAAATGTGCACTGGGAAGGAGGTTGCATGTTCAGAGATTAATTTGCAAGTCTCAATTGTGGAGGCTTTTGCAAATGGAGACCCGTAATATCAATGGCCAAATTTTCAAACAGGAGTCAGTTCAGCTTCTAATTACTTATGTACAAATTTACACATGCCAATGGCTTGTTTCATGCAGCTTTTGCACACCAGTGTGTTATGCAAATGATAAACTCTACACAGGCCATACCCGTGCTCCATTTGCACTTGCAAATGGTTTTGCACATGTACGTACTATTGTTCACATATGGCACTGAAAGTACTCAAAAATTGTGCGCACAGGTGACTGCATATACACCTCTACCTCGATATAACGCTGTCCTCGGGAGCCAAAAAATCTTACTGTGTTATAGGTGAAACCGTGTTATATCGAACTTGCTTTGATCCGCCGGAGTGCGCAGCCCCCCCCCTCCCCCGGAGCACTGCTTTACCGCGTAATATCAGAATTCCTGTGATATCGGGTTGCGTTACCTCAAGGTAGAGGTGCATAAAGTTGCCTGCGTGCAAATAGCCACATTTTGACAGTTTGGCCGCAAAGGTTTTCTTTAATTGATAACTAACTACGTATCATAAGTAGTTTGATACGTAGTTAGTTATCTACTGCCTTTGGCTGCCTTTTTGTTGCATGGGAAAAGCGAGATTGAACGAGACAGTGTAAGAATGTAGCTTGTGATGTTGATCTAATTCTTAATACATCTTTAGGGAACTGATTGTTTGCTGAACTCCAGATCTTATTGAGGTCAAATGCTAGGATATTTGTTAGAGTCAATTGATCTGGATGAAGAAATATTAGTAGACAGTCCATTTATGAGAGCATCTGAACAGCAATCAAAGCTCTGGAGAGCTTGCATCTTGCTTTCTTACTTACTGTACCTACAATGTAACATCCCAACCGTACTCTTCTTTGCAACAAAAGGCACCTTGAAAGAGTCTTATGCACTTCATCTCTTCAGATGAAAGCCAACGATCCGATTGAAGGATCCCTGTTGGATTTGCCTCTCTGTTATAAATGTATCCAATTGTCTTTGTTCTTTGTTAGAGTGGAAAGAAAGCAAAAGATTTGCCAGTGGAAACTGGAGGATCCCAATGTAAAAAGAGAGCCATTAGCAGGGGGCTTAGTTTTGTGTTGAGGGGGGAGCCTTAGATTTCTTTCCTCTCTGCTTTGACAGTAGCACAGAGTTTACACACAGACATTAATCACTAGAGAGTACATTGGGGAAAAAACAGGCATTGCCAACTTCTTTTGGGTCAGGATTGTATTGCTGAAAGTTTCACCGAGTCCCTCAAAATGTTCCCCTGCAGTCAGCAACATATCATATTTCTTGCATAAAATACTCTGTTTTCTGCTCAACCTTTCCATCAATTCCATACGCCTCCCACTTCTACCCACCCCAAAAACCTCACTCAGTTCCATGTGCTCCCCTTCTCAAATCCATCAGTCCTTCCATCCCTGCCTTCCAGCCCTGTCCCCATCACTCACCATGCTTACCAACCCCCTCAGCATATCACCGAGACTCCTGTTGGCGGCTCCCTCTATCTGATAGCTGGTCCTCACATCTGCAGTGGTGATGGTGACTGGGTTGTCCTGCAACCTCTTGTTGTGTTTGGTTAGGTGGGGAATGGGTCCTATCTGGTGAGGGGCTGGATGGTCAGTTGGGGAATAAGTCCCTTTCAGTTCTTGAGGTGTTCTCAACTCCTGTGTAGAGGAGTTCTATAGTGGTACAGAGGTGTACAATGGTTTCAAGAGCCTGGCTGGAGTACCCTTGTGCTCTGATGCTTCCCTGCCATTGGAATGGCATTTGGGGGGCTGTTGCAGGCTGTCTGCCTTACACCAGTCCTTTGCTACCTTTCCATCCAATCCCCTCTTGTGGCCTGAAATCAGGGCCGGCTCTGGCTTTTTTGCTGCCCCAGGCAAAAAAGCCTCCTGCCGCCCCCCCCCCAAGTGCCGGGGGGAGGGCGGCGAGCCCGCCGTGGCTCCGCTCTCCCCGGTGGCCAGAGCGCCGCGGGGAGGGCGGCGAGCCCAGTCGCGGCCCCGCTTTCCCCGGCGGCCAGAGCGCTGGGGGAGGGTGGCGAGCCCACAGCGGCTCCGCTCTCCCCGGCGGCCGGAGCCGGAGC